GTATAACCCGTGCCTACAGACACATTTGCCAAAGAAGCAAAATGGAAGAAGAATATTGCTGTTTGATACAGACCTTTTTATGCTAAACCAGCGCTTATGTTGACCTGGATCTGCGTAATAAACGCAACAAATAGGCTTTACCTTTTATTTTACAGCTTATAAAGCATGTACGCAGATTAATGCAATATCATATTTAAACAACAAAACTGTTTACAAAAAGTCTACATATGCGCGCGTGTTGTTGTTGTCTTTTCATCACACAGCGCGCGCACTTGAACCGCGAGGGAGAGAGAGGAAACCATAGGCTATATCAGGACATAATCTTTAAAATAATGATTTCTATTAAAAATGTAAAAGGTTTTGTGATTATAATAATAACAGCCGGGCAATAAAAAACTGCATATTTTCCGTGGAGCCGGCAATTTGAGGAAGTCTGCGATTTTTATTTGATGGAAGGAAAAAAACATATGATTGGGAAAAAAAAAAGCCTATGCCGGTTATTAAAAAGAATCAGTCAGTATTGTCGTTTTGTAATATAAATTATTATTTAAGTGAAAATAATCTAGGGCAGTCCTTTTTATTTTATTTATTTTATAGATTATTCTGTTCTTCTGTGCTAAACACTGCAGGTGCGTGAAGATGCTCTGTTGTTCTGTTCCGCTATTAATATGCTAACATATAAAAATAAATCAGTTTACTTTTTCTTTGTAAGAGAACTTGATTGAAAAATAATTTTCAACATGCTTGAACCATCTACACAATGGAGTTTAGTTCTGTTTGGTTTTTCAACAGTATTTTGTTACAAAGAAAACAGAAGTGATATAGCTTTGGCTATTCATTTATTTTATATATGGCTATTTATATTGTTAATAATTTGCATATGTAATATTGTTCTTTGATGTTTAGTTTATAAAGATTTTTCAAATGTTATTTAATAAAAAATAGTTTTAAAAATCTTTTTTTTTCCCACCCCACAAAAAAAATAAAAATAAAAAATCGTGATACGAACCGAATCGTGGGTCAAAAATCGTGATACGAACCGAATCGTGGGTTTGGTGTATCGTTACAGCCCTAATATATATATATATATACATATATATATATATATATATATATATATATATATATATATATATATATATATATATATGCGATAGAAAACGAGACACATGTTCTAAATTTTTCTCCATAGTCCTGTATATTTTAAGTACTGTGTAGGTAATAAATGTGTTGTTTCATGTTTACATCTGTTGTTGAAAGATAATGGAACAGTATTTTATTCATACTGCAAAACATGCAACATACCCATATTTAAACATTAAAAGAGACTTTATTCGAATTAAATATCGTTTCTGTAAAATCACTTTTGTAAATGAAATTTGATGTGGGCACAAAAATAAAACTATATAGTTTTTAAAAAATTCTAAATTTTATATAATTAAAAATAAATTGTATTGAAATGTAACAAAATGGGAACAATTTAGTTGGAATCCCATTCAGAAGAATTGTTTTCCAGTTATTGAACAGTTAAAACATTGAAAGACAATCAGAAGTATTCTACTGCTAAGAGTCTGAGCGTTTAAAGTGGCAGATCACAAATTGGCAGTGCACTAAAGATAATCAAAAATAACATTTGACTCTATTTACTCTCCCTCAAGTGGTTCCAAGTGTTTGTGTTCAAAAAAATAAAATAAAAAGTTATTCAGGTTTAAAAAAGTAACATGAGTAAATGATGACAATTTTCATTTCTGGATCAACTATCCCTTTAAAGAGATATCGCTTCACCCACTACAGTGAAAACTGTTGAACACAAAACAAGATGTTCGGAAAAATGTTGGACTGAGGTTTTTTTTTTCTTCTTGAGACTATCTTCCTTTGTCTTTAACAGAAGAAACCCAAAGAAACTATTTGGACACGTATATAATATTGTTTCGTGAAGCAAACAGGCATTGAATTTAAAATGATTTTAATTAGAAAATTCGGTAACACTTTATAATAACTACTATGAATCATTTACTAAGCATTAGCATTTGTTAAGCATTAACTCTACAATAATAAGCATTAGCAGTTGATAACTGCAGCTACAAATGCTGTATTTTTGACTTTTTTTCTTGACTTTATAATGTGCTTAAAATTGTATTTTCATATTTTCATGTTTTTTTTTTTAAACATAACACATTAACACTACAACAAAAAATGTGAGTTTAGCAATTTATTATTCACTGAAAAATATTAAAATGGGTTTACCACAGCAGCTTGACAAATTCAAAAGATTTAAAGAGATAGTTCCCCAAAACTTCAAATTATCTTGTCATTTACTTAATCCTTACTTTTTCCAAACCAAATTAAGAAGAAAACTGGATACCTGTCACCATTGACATTCATAGTGGGAAAAACACTATGTCTGAGGTTGTGGAGACAAACTGTAAACACTCATATGTTGAATTAGTGAAATTCATACACAATGCGCCTCCACTGGAATAAAGAGCAATTTCCAGCAATTTTCAAAGTGAAAGCAAATTTAAAAGCTAATGCTCATGAACTGACATTTTATTTAAAAAAATATATATATGTTGTTTTCTAAAATCTATGTAATGCAAGTAGCACAATTACACTGACATTAGTAAATGTAGTCAAATTACATTTATTTACAATGTAATTTGTGACTTACAGCGTTCCCTTAAACATGTATTTGGTAAAACGTTACTGTGGAAAGCGTTACACCCAACTCTGATCGACATCATTTACTCTGTTGAGTGCAGCTGTCTGTGTGCGCATGTGCAAATCACTATAGCAGAAACATGTACCTTATTCACTGCAAACATATCATGGTATTTGTATGTTATAAAAGTAAAAAAAAAAAAAAAAGACTACATACATCACCTTTAATGTCAAATGCAATAAAAGTAGCGACTGCTAATTGTTTTGTTCTTCAGAAAAGGAAGTAGCCTTGTAATAAAGCAGCAGTGTGAACTCAGTGTGAAACAAAGTATCCAAAAGAAAGCACATTTCTGTGACTGGGGAAGGTCCGATTCACCAACAACAGGAAAAGACAGTTTCCTCTGTCCATCCTTCTGTTTTACTGTAGCTTTTTCCATGAGGGGAAACAGATCTTTCTGAAACCTCCACTGAGAGAAATCAGATCTTCTACACCTCTGACCCTGCAAAATATGTGCACAAAAAAACAATAGAGAGGACAATGGTCCTTTTTTCCCACTTGTTACCACTCTATCTGCCCTGCCAGAACAGGCCACAGTGGTGCTTTTCATCAGGACTGATTGTCAAGGCTGTTCGATCTAATGCAGAGGTGACCATGAAAACTGCAAAGCTCCAAGATCCTAGTTCTGCTTTATCACCATTGAGAAAGGCAATTGTAATTGGTGTGCTGTAAGTCACTTTGAACAGAAAAAGACAGCAACTAAACACTAGAAGATTTATTTATTTTATAGTTGAAGGAGCTGGAAAACTCAGCGAAAAAGTACTAAGGTTCTGGTGACTGGACTACACCGCAGGTTTTCTTAAGAAGTGGACCTCTCTGACCTGAATGTCAAGCTCAGGTGTCATAAACCACAACAAAGTTTCAATTTGAAAGACTTGTTTTTGTTATGTTGTTAATGCTGTTTATTTTTTCTTGCCTCCCAGCTGAAGTCAAAACAGGATCAAAGTTGCAGATGATTTTCCTAATAAAGCCCAAGAGATTCTGCTTTTAATTAGTCCAGTCATTATCCAACTCATAATGCTTTTTGCTCTTTAATAAATACTTTGTTCCCCCCTCAAAGCTAGCTATATGGAAGCTTTGAATGAAATAAATTTAGTTTAAAGGCAATTGTGATTTAGTTTGTTTAAAGCAATTCTATATTTTAACGCAGTGTAAACTTTTTTTCTCAGAATGGCTTCTTACCATTTTAAGATTTAGTACACTTTGATGATCTTTTTTTCAGAATTAAAGTTATTTAAAAATTTTTTTAAAAAATTGCTAGTTTGTACAAATTGATCGGTATTACCATTTCTATTGATTCAGCTAAATTATTAACAATTCTGAGAAATTATGAATTATGAAACAATTGTTTTATAGTTCAGGCTTTAAACTCATAATCATAATGTGATCATGTTTTTATACAAACTGTAACTAGCAGGACATTTAACAAACAAAAATGTAGTGGTTATAAATCGTTATGAATGTGGGCATTTTCAATCCAAAGGAAAGTAATTTCTGAAGTGGATGACAAGTTTTTATATATTTCTATAAAATGCTTAGTTTTTCGCCTAGGTGAACTATTTAATTCAGAAAGGTTACATTTAGCAGACCATAAATGACAGTAAAAAATAAATAAATAAAAAAACTTAGTAGCAGTGTTCCATTTATTTGGTGTCTTTTTGAAATTTATAATCATTAAAGAATTCCAAATTATTACTCCTGTTTCCAGTTTTCAAAACTAAGATATTACAAACTGCTTCTTGTGGACTAAATCAACTTATGATTGATTTTTATTTTAGTTGATTTGAGCTTATGAACAGAGGTTTAATATTATTTGTATTTTGATTTAATAAAAACCTTGTACATAAAAACATTGCTTTTAATGACAAGTTCTCCCAATACTGTTATGCTAAATAAGATGCTTTAAAAGAAAGTTAACTGTAAAATATATTTACTAAATGTATGTAAATATGAATGGGATCTTGATCCGGCTAGGTCAGTTGGCGTTTCTGTGTGGAGTTTGCATGTTCTCCACGTGTTCACATGGGTTTCCTTCGGATGCCAAAGACATGTGGTACAGGTGAACTGAATACACTAAATTAGCCGTAGTGTATGTGCGTGAATGCAAGCGTGTATGGGTGTTTCCCAGTGGTGGGTTGCTGCTGGAAGGGCATACGTTGTGTAAAACATATGCTGGTTAAGTTCTGCTGTAGCTACCAACATCTAATTTTAAGAATAGCAAGCTAAAAATTATATTAATCAAGCATTATATTTGATTAAAAAATGTAATCAGACTGAAATCTAAAGTTAAACTTTTTTATTATCGAGTATAAAAAAAGAAAATAATTAAAATATTTACAAAGACACAAACACAAACTTGACAACAAATGACATCTATATATGAAAAAAATCCCTTCATGGGAAAAAGGCTCATGCAGCAAAATCAGGGCAAATATACTGCATTTTAGTAAATTCTCTATCATGCTTAAACACTACACCATGGCAGAGACAAACACTCCAAAAAGGGACAAAATAGTGCACTAAATACAAGAACTTCTAATGTGTTTTTTCCTTTTCATTTTTAACATATTCTTTTAGCATTTATAAGAGGTCATTTATTTATACCAAGACAAAACTGTAAACAGGAAGAAAAAAAAAGTCTTTGGGCAAAACAAATGTAAGGACAAGAGACATGCATATCATGTTTGGCCTATCAAAATGTAAACACGCATTTTAAATAGTTTGTGCTGTAATGACTGTTAAATGTTTAATTGATAATACAACAAAAAGTCAATATTCTTAGACATGATATGATTGACATTCAAAAAACAAAAGGTTAATTGTGGTTTTGATTCTACACTGTAAAAAATATCTGCTTACAGGCATGTTTCGTGATTCATGTTTGAATTTTTTCCCTATTTATTTATGCTTTTGAATTGCATTATTACCTTGATCTTTTTTCAAACACCGTAAAAAGTTTGAAACAGTGACTTTTATTAACATTTTTAATATAGTTTAAAGTGATATATTGTCTTTGTTGGTACAAAAATCCAAAAATATTTTTAAAAAAACCACATACAAAAACCTTGTAATAAACTGCCTGTAAATTTTCTGTTATATCCCAATACAAATGGATAAAAATTCTAAATTCTGAAGTACTAAAACAACAGTAAAAAGCACTTTGTTAAACTTTTAAGATCAAAATTCGACAGAGCTGAGATCAAGGTCACATGATGCAATTCACAATTGTAAATAAGTGAAAAACACGCAGAAACTTAATAAACAGATATTTTTTCCACAGTGCATCTAGCTAACAAACAGTAAGGACATTTATAAAATCTTTCATGTCAGAGAAAAGGCACAGCCTGATGCTTTTTGCATAGTCACCAAGCAAGAGTAGAAATAGGAGGTAAGTGTTGGCATCTGAAATGCATTGTTGACATTAGAAATAACTAAAATGACTCCTAAATATCTACAAAGTTAATGAGCAAGATTAAGTGCGACATTCAGTTAAACGATCATGAACAGGATGGCCAGAAATAACTTGCTTACCTGTTTCAAGAACTGTTTGAAGAACTTGCTTATCTTTTACATTTCTACTTTCAAATTTCAGTTCTTGGGATAAACGTTTCAGGCAAATTAAAATTCCGCTGTGTTTTACTCTCACACATCTGTTCACCCCAACCCATATGAAGATACTTTAAATCTGGGATGAGACTTGATTGCTTCATATGGTAAACAGATTAACAATGCTTATATGTGAAAAAGGCTTAAATTAAATCTGTTCATCATATAAAGTGAATGCGTCTCAGGCATGAAAGTAATGGTTGAATAGAATTCCAGTGGGAGGAATAGAGATCTCTCAGATCTGATTAAAATATATATTCTTCTGTGTTGTGAAGATAAACTAATTTCTCAGAGGTCTCAAGTTTTTTCTTTGAGTGAATTAACACTTTTCTGGGGAAGAAAATTACGCAAAAGTCTGCATAAATATGAATAGCTACAAAAATAACCAAGCTCAAATTAAAAAAGAAAAAAAAAAAGATATGCACTTTAATGTAATGCATGTAATCCATGCCCAATGAGTGAGGTCATTTCTTAAGATGTTTATTATTATTTTTGTTTTAATCTAAAAAAAGTACTGAACATGCTTTTGTACTAAATGTAGTAGCCCAAAAAGAGTGCACAAATTATTTTGAAGTGTCATAAAAAGACATTTTAGTACAGCCTGGTTGGCTAGTCTGCTTCCTCTAAGGCTAAGATTTAGAATATCACGTCAATTAACATTTTATGGTCCCAACATCTTGCCATTATGTATATAAAGCTTGGTTATTAGTGGTTCCAAAAATAACACTTGTCTTACAAAACAAGTGTGGAAAAATTATGAAATAAAAAAGTGGGTTAAAGGTAAACTTGAAGAAGAGAGAAGGCACATGTGTGACAATATCCAAATGAACATAGGCAGCTGCGTATTCAATATGGTCTTTACAAAGCTGAAAAAGAAGGTCCAGGGTCTTTTTCTCCACAGATATTCCTAAAAATTACTCCTCCACAAAGGGAGGCATGAAACAGTAAGAGGAGGTCCGCATCTTTTTCCATACATTGCCCTTCGCTTGCTTCCAGTTATGAGAGCTCAGTAATAATTAAACTTGACTTTTTCAATGTCACCAATCAGCGTCCTTGCCAAGAAGATCCCCACCATCTAACAGTAAAACAAGGCAGGACAATAGATTAGAATTAAAATATAAAGACATATAAACTCATGCAGAATGGTAGTTTCACTGCAGCAAGACCTACAATTTCACTCAGATGATTTAATGCATTCCAAATCATTTAGCGCTTTAGCGACCGTTTTGTCTTAAATAAAGCAGTGAACTTTAAATCCCACTGATATGAACTGAACATCTACTCTGAAAACTGGACTGACACAGTTTCAATGTACTAGAATGTCTATGTTAAGCTGCTTTGACTCTACATTGCTTTGAATCTACATTGTAAAAGCACTATAGAAATAAATATGAATTGATTTGAAAAAGAATAAAAAAGTTTTTTTTTGGTAATTTCAGCTGTGTGCATAAAAAATATAGTAGACTCTAGATCTTAGAGATAAAAAGGTCCCAACTGAGAGCCATTAAAGCAATATTTAAATACAATGAAAATAAAGCAAAAATTATTAATTCATAGTTAATAGTAGGGATGCACGATGTATCGGCAGCCATATCATTATCGGCCGACAAATGCTATTTTTAATGTTATTGTTATCAATCCAATATAAAAATTAGGGCAATATCTTTAAGCTGATAGGTTACATAATTGTATAGAACTGCCTGCCTTGCACATGCGTGGGTCAAACTTGTTCAGACTCGTCCAGTGCAGTATAACAGAGCTTTTCTCACATTGTTTATTCCTTCAAAGTCCAACCTTGCTTTGTGTGGTATTGCTGTGCATTAACATCACAGTAAGTAACTATGTTATCATTGTAGATATGTTTGATAGTGTCGGTGTGTATTTTTGGTTTAAATCACCCTTAGGAAAAATATTACATGTGTTAACATAATAGCAGAGATGCACACATGCTAAACAACTCGTTGGGTTGTTTGTAATCTAATATGATTATTTGTTTTTATTAATGCGTTGCTAGCCATGTGTTGTTGATGTAAAATTGTATTAAGTTTGATCAGCATATTCATAAATGATTATAATGAGCGCGTGTGCTGGCTATTACCACACACACACACATAATGACTAGTAAGCCGTCAGAGCCTTAACAGCAGCAGGGCAGAGGTGTGCCAGTCACTAAATCCAGCATAGGGGTTCTCAACCCTCCACCACATTCTGTTTTTGTATTATGCACTGTGTTTTCCAAAGTCATCTGTGCTTAATGCTCAGGTGTTGTATCAAAACCAGACTCTCGAGGACAAATCTGACTCTGCTCAGCCTGCAGTTAAAGTCTCAAACTCGCATCGGTTTATCATAAACCTTCCAAATCACAGCAAGGACAAACATAGAAGCATTGTCTGATTGACAAGAAGCATTTAAATGTGTTCAAAAGAATCAAAAAATGCAAAAACGGAAGGAATTTATGCTGCATCAGCTATCGGCCTCCAGATCTTAAGAGTTATTGGTTATCGATTTTGGTCAAAAGAAATCTATATCGATGCATCGCTAGTTAATAGACTTTGATACTTTTGCCAGTGTTTCAACTTTTTTTTTTAAATTCAAAACCATTTTGGCAACATTTTCTTAAAGTAAATATTTTCCCATTTTAGCAATAGTAATGAATGCTCGGATTAAAAAAAATACTAGCACATCAAAATGAAGGTTTTCTACTTATTTTCTAAAACAAAAACAAAAGTGTCATTATGTAAACACTGAAACCCTCACAACTGACCTCTGTATAACATTTTAAATCGAATGCATGAGGGTAAACCTTTACCATTTGCATAATAGCCTTGCTCTTTTTAAGAGACTTTAAGTTTCTCTATGAAAATACCAGTGCTAAGGGTGACATCTAGCTATAAAATAGATTTTCAATGCACTATATTGTCGTTTTTCTTAACTACATACCTGTAGCAATGATATGACTATGAAGACTCCAGCCACAATGTAGAGATTACGGGGAAGCCAGTCCTCTAAAGCATCGATGCATCCTTTGATATAAATGGAACTGCTCCAATCATTCTGAAAAATCAAAACAGTGTGTAATGTTTCTTTACAAAATAAGGTAAATAAATGTATGCAATTAAAAAAGCATTTTATTTAATCTACACCACAACAAGTGTTTCAGTGTATTATAATAAACAGCTTTATTCCCTGAAGAAATTCTCAGCAATTTCCCTACCGCCATGCCAAAAAAAAAACAGAAAGATTACAATAGAAGAGAAGAATAGAACAAGAATATACGTGAAACATACAGATATGGCTGCTGCTGCTAGTAATGTATTTTTTATTTAATGCCATGTCAGCTATTTTCATGACAGGAACCTTTCAACAATAAATAAACAATTTAAAAATCAACAAACAAAAGAATACATAAATAAATAAGATTTTTAGTGTTGATGCATGATAAAAATTGTAAAATCTTTTCTGGTTTCACTTTGTTAAAAATGTCCTTAAAAGGGTTCATTTCATAAAAAAGTCTTCTGGAATCAGTAAAAGCAGGACAGTCCAATAAAATGTGCTTTATAGTAAGGGGAGTTTTGCAGCACAAACACTGAGTAGGGTTTTCACCATGGAGCAAAAAACCATGTGTTATTCTTGTATGCCCAATATGACATCTGGTAAAAACCACTTGATCAAATCTATTCTTAAAATGTCTTAAAATTCTGTGTGAGATTTCAGGCTGGATTTCATGTAATTTATTATTTTCTAATGCATCCCATTCCTTTTGACACTTGTGTAAAATGTAAACATTGATAAAACGTTTCATCTCTGATGAAGGAATTTAGCATTTGTTCACTACTTGCTTCAAAGCATCTTTAGCAGCTGCATCAGCTCGCTCATTTCCTGAAAGCCTGACATGTCCTAGAACCTAGCAAAAATGTGATAAAAATGTGATAAAACTGATTTTGTAATTGGCAAACTTTAGTTAAAATATTATCAATCAAAGGATGATCGTTCTTAGAAGATTCCCTAACTTGGAGGCATGATTTAGAGTCTGTAAAACTGATAGATTTCTTTTGTTGGGCATTTTCTATATACTCCAATGCTAAAAGTAAAGCGCAGGCTTCAGCTGTGAATATGGAGCATTCTTTAGGCAGACTGATGCTGTCGTCCAGTTACCACTGCTGCTGCAACGCCATTTTCCACATTTGAACCATTTGTAAAAAAACAGCTGAGAATATTGGCTTCTAATATCCAAATATTGGCTAATATCTAATATCCAAATATTAGCTTCTAATATCCAAATATTGTTGTCTGAAAACACTGGGAATTTGGGATGAGTTACTCCTTTCTTCAGATGTCCTAAATCCATATTGATTATGGGCTTCTTTAGAGTCCAATGAGGCAGGCACTGAAGTGTATTTGACTTAATATGTCCAGGTTTATGTTTAAATTTTGTAGATGTGGATTAATGCGCACACCAAATGGTCTGATGGTTTTTGGCTTACTTTGATATAACTGTACAACCTGTGGGTTAAAACTGCAGAATAAGCTGGGTTGTTCTTATTTGCTTTTAATTTAACAGCATACTGTAATGAGAGTTTTAGCCGTCTGTTTTGGAGTGAAGGTTCATTGGCTTCAGTGTAAAAACTCTGTAGAGCTGATGTTCTGAATGCTCCCAAAACAAGCTGTAATCCTTGATGGTGTACTGTATTGAGGATCTGTTTATACGAGTTCCTGGCAGAGCCATAAATTATACTCCCATAATCCAAACGGGATCGAATGAGAACTTGATATAGATGCAAAAGTACAATTAAATCTGCTCCCCATTTAGTTTTTGCTTTGCTTTGATTATGTTCATAGCTTTCAAGCACTTGTTTTTTTTAACAACTTCATATGAGGGATGAAAGTCATTTTCAAAAAGATGACCTAAAAACTTGATTTCTTTATTAACTTTGATCGGATCTCCGTTGATAAAAAGTTCTGGATCATGATGAAGAGGTCGCTGGATTTAAAAACAGTGTACAAACAGTTTTTGTTCTAGAGAACTTAAAACCATTTTCAAGAAACCACTGGTTAATTCTGTGAATACATAATTGTAGCTGCCTTTCAATTGTGCTCATATTTTTCCCTCTGTAGCAGATACAAAGATCACCCACATAAAGGCTGCAGAACATGTTTGGTCCAATGATTTCCACAATGCTATTTATTTTGATGCTGAAGAGTGACAGAGAGTATACTTCCTTGAGGAACTCCAAGTTCTTGTTTGTGAGCATTTGATAGAGTATTTCCCACTTGAACTCTAAAGTTCACTGCTGCTGCTAGAGACCTTGACTTTAATTTCAGAACCTTTTACTACCATTTTTTCCTCTTTCTGAAGCAAGTTTAACATTTCTAGGAGGACTGAACTAAGGCAAAACATTTTTATAAACAATGGCAAAGCACAGACTAAAATTAGAATTGTTGAAAATGCACTTACCAAAGTGCCTTTTTCTCTAACATCATACCCGCACTGCGTGTTGAGCACCGTAACCTGTAGAGAAACGTTATGCGTGTAAGAAATTTTAAATTACAATAGAAAAATAATCAAATCATATACTAATTCATTCAAATTATTAATTTAATCCTTTTCAGACAAAGCTTTAAGGCATGTTCTGACCAAAAATGATAACTGTAAACAGCATTTGTTTATTAGCATGCAGAGCAGTTGTCTTCTAAATGCTTGAGTTCTTGAAACCCATCTGATTATCTGTAAAGATATTTATTGTACAAACCGTTCAGTGATTCCACTGATATAATTTCCAATTAATTTTGAACAAATAATAAAACTTTATGCTGCATTTCATGCTATAGCTCTCGTTCTTGTTTGAGCAGTCAAAACACAGTAATTTTATCATAAAAACAGCAACAAAAAAATAGGGGAAAATAGGAGGAAAAAAATAGAAGCATGTCATGCTGGTAACATAAAAATTAAATAAGCATTTTTTTTTATTTACATTGATAGTCAAACCTAAAATGCAATAAAGATTATAAAAAAGCCACAGTTCACTTTAAAATATCCGGACAGGCCAGATGTCAGAATAGTGACCAAAGTGGCAAAAGAAGTTTCTAGGAGAACAATTTCAGTGGCTTGTGGAAGAAATGTCAGTTGACTTCGTTATTCTAAACCTGCACAGAACACACATTAAAATAATTCTTGGCAATGAGCTGGTTGTTCAATGCAATTGCAAAATACATTTTGCAAGCAGAGTCAAACAGGTTTGGGAATGACCTGAGGGTGAACGATTTTTATACAGGCAGGGAGGATAAGGCCACCACTACCAGAGGGAGTCTTCCACGTGCTTAGCCTTCGACATGAAAGCGTAATGGATTCTGTTAAATGTATTTTTATGGCAGTGCAGAATTCTAAAAAAAAAAAATATCATTTTTTTCTGTGATGGGCTGCTGTAAAGAAGAGAGAAACTTACAGCAGGGTCGCTGATGCAGCAGGAAAAGGGCACTCCACATTTCTCTCTGCTGAGGTTATTCTTATTTGAGCAGTTAAAATACACATTCATATTCCAGTCGTTTGGGTGTTTAGCTCCACAGCAATGATTCTGTAAAAAAAAAAACATATTAAAATAAAAGCATGTATATTTAGCACAGTCATTGGCAATGATATTTTTAAAAGGAGTATTATGATTTTTTACAATTTGAAACTTGCTTTATAGTGTAATTGTGTTTGTACATAAAAAGGTTATTCTCTATATCAGTAAACAGTGTCTCTGAACTCCCTCAGTTATACAGTCCTAAATTGTTGTTATTTCCAAAAATGAACGTGTGGGAATATCCTGAAATTCTGGTAGAGCTGCATCAGTAGTAAGCTGCTGCCATTTCCAAACAACATGTTTTACAGACCTAGAATACTGATACATATTTACCAGATTTCTTTACTATTTACATTCACAGACACAACCAACACTGTGTTTCATTCAGATTTTGCTAATTTATTATTGATTGATTGATTAATTCAGCAAGCATTTGCAAAAAGACATGGACGGTGAGTACTGAAACTTGCTTTTTTTTAAAGAAACCATTAAGTTGATATATATGTGGTAGCTGTCATGTCAAGTTTATAGAAAGCATTCATTTTAGTCAATCGGCATATATTATGAAAATGTCTCTCAGAAATTACCAGCTTCTGGAGAGAGTCGATCAGATTCTGCAGATCAATGTCATCCCTGTAGGCCTTCACATTGGCCAAGAAGAATTCGCTGATCCACTCCCTAACTTGGCCCTGGAACACGAACGCCAAAACTGCAGCAGTCAGTTCCAGGAAGAATATGAATCCAATGACTCCAGAGAACTGAAAGCAAGATAAATAATCAGAAGCAGGAGTGAAATTTGACTGCAAACTGAATTTCTTATGTGTCTTATATATATTTCTTATATACATCTTTGATGTCATAAAATTACGCAAAATATCAAACAGAAATGGCATAAATTGACCAGCATGTGTTATTAAATCTGTATAGCGTTGAATGGTTGTACTTACAAACTTAAGGAGGCAGATGTTTTCCCTGAGTGCTCCAACACACCCAGCAAATCCCAAAATAAAAGTGACTGTGCCCACAACAAGCACCCCCCAAACTGGGTCGAAACCATGCAGACGTGTGACTTGAGTCAGATCTGATAAAACACCCTGCAGAGAAATCAAGGAATAAGCAATTTACATTTTTTTATTTTTACTGAACAACTAAAACCTATTTAAACTCACTTTATGTACAGTTTAATGTACAATATTGCAGACTTGGGGTAGTACGATTTTTTGAGAGTCTGCAAGGTGTTTTTAATTGTGAAAAGCTTTTAATTGTGATTATTAAGTGAAAAGTTGGGGCAAAGCAGTGGCACAGTAGGTAGTGCTGTCGCCTCACAGCAAGAAGGTCGCTGGTTCAAGCCTTGGCTCAGCTGGCGTTTCTGTGTGGAGTTTGCATGTTCTCCCTGCCTTCGCATAGGTTTCCTCCGGGTGCTCCAGTTTCCCCCATAGCCCAAAGACATGCGGTACAGGTGAATTGGGTAAGCTAAATTGTCTGTAGTGTGTGTGTGTGTGTGTGTGTGTGTGTGTGTGTGTGTGTGTGTGTGTGTGTGTGTGTGTGTGTGTGTGTGTGTGTGTGTGTGGATGTCTCCCAGAGAGAGGTTGCGGCTGGAAGGGCATGCGCTGCATAAAAACTTGCTGGATAAGTTGTTGGTTTATTCCGCTGTGGCGACCCCGGAGTAATAAAGGGACTAAGCCGACAAGAAAATGAATGAATGAATGTGAAAGGTTTTTCAGTGTTCCTCAATAATGGTTTAAAAGAAGAGCTTTTATTTGAACAGAAGTATTCTGTAAAATTTCAAATGACTTTAAAATCTTTGTTGTATAGACTGTTTGCAATGAAAGATACTTAAACAGACAATGCATACACAAGTTGAATGATCCTTACTAAATAAAATAATTTTTTTATTATCTGTGTCCCCAAATTTTTGCATGATGCTGCAAATTAGAGTTATGCCAGTTACGTTGGTGATATCAATTAAAAGTAAAATTTATGAACTTGACAGGATTATATGCCATTGTACATTGCAGAAAAGACAAGACTCACCTTTTCACTCCAAGCCCAAAAGCCAATTGCAATGAAGGCTGATCCAGCTAGCTGAAAAGCAGAAAAGGAAAGTATACATTAAGAAATGTTGAGACAGTAAAGCAAGTTCAGACAAAAGGAAAACCAGCAATGACGAAGTGCCTGATTATAACATCTGACGCATAAATATGACTAAATGTCTCTGACTCAAATGTAAAACACCAAGCAGCTAGAAGATTTTGGAATAAAGTGTCTTGCACTAACCAAGTATGAATTAAAAACACAATAATATTGTGACACTTCCCAAAAATGGTTTACAGTTGTTTTACAAAATATTACAATGTAATTTATTCCAGTGATGTCAAAGCTGAACATTTAGATGATATTACTGCAGAAATAACTTGTATATGCTGATTTGTTGAAGTCATGTTGCTTAGTCTTTTGTAACATTTATTAAATAACTACGGTAGTAGGGAGAGCTTAACATACTGCAATTTAAGAAAATATATGCAATCACAAAAAAACACCAGCAAATTACGAAAAGATTTTCACCCGTTTGACAAAACGTGCTGCAAATCCTCACATTTTCCCACAATGCAAACAAATTAGTAAAACGCATTACATTTTCTCACAACGCAAACAACTTATAAAAATGCACTGCATTTTCCCCACAACACTTGCAAAAAGAACAGAAGACAACAAAAATATTTCAAGGGGGACCCAAAAACGTGACGGAAACCGCTTGATTCTTTGCTCTTTGCTATTGCTCATTGAAGTTGTAGGTGATCTTTAAAAAGTGAGTTTTAAGTGTTCCATATTATTTTAACATCCTGATTTCCTTGTCTTTTGTATTTCATTAGCCAATACAACCATTGAACTAAATAGCTGGTCTGTCATGTTTTAGGGACCCATTAAAACATTTCCATTGGGTTCTGTGATATTTAAAATTGCGATAAAATCCAGCGCGTTTCTGTAAATTGTTTGTGAAAAAGCAGCTTGTTTTTTTTTTTTTAAATGTGTTTGCATTGAGGATAAGAAAGATCTTTTCTCAATTTGCTGGCTTTTTTTGTAATTGGCTGTGTTTTCTTAAATTGCAGCACATTTATCTCTCTCGGCCACTGTAGTTAACAAAAGGTTAAAAAGACAAAATTGAAACACACCTGACGCATTACAAATGTCATTAGTGGAAGTTTTGATTAAATTAATTTGTGTTTGCTGAGTAAAACAATTACTATTAATAACTCCATAGGGGTGGTTGTGTAAAAAAGAGATACAAGAAAACCTTAAATTTCCATAGTATATTTAAAACTTTGAGTATTAAACTAAAGACTTCATAAATCATATCACAGTGCATGTAATTATCTTAACACATTGCAAAGATAATGACTTTCATTTCTTAAACCATGTTCACTACTGAAAACAGGAAAATGGGTTAAAAGCGGATATCTCAGAACCCTCTAACTCCTCCCATAGAGGACAACATAAACTACTGCAGTACATGTCAGCGTAAATCTGTTTCCTGATGATACAAATATGGAAACACAACGTCATTATGCAGACATTTTCTCTTGATAAAGATGAGTGAGTGATAACTATGGGTGTTAACTTTTGTGAAACAGTCCACCCAGTAAAAAAACACACTCAGAAAGTATGAAACATCTGTGAACAGTGTGAAGTGAAGTGAAACAAATAAACATGAAATGTTAGGCTGGTCTGAGATCATGTTATTGGAGCAAGAGTGGTGGAAAAGGCCAGCAGACAAAGTGTTGGGTGTTATCTTTATGTCAGAACTGGAAGGGAGGCCATTTAAAGATGATCTGCTGTGAAGAGCATAATAATAATTATAATAATAATGTGTGTTTATTGCACTAAAACAAAACATGTATCCTCAACTTACCCAAAATATAATGTTGTAGCTGAACATGAGGTATTTGTAGCAACAGCTGACCTCTGCATTTTCATATCTGTAATAATGCATCTTCTTCTGTAGCACAAAAGGAAAAGACAATTAAAACTGATAACAAAACATGTGAAATTACCTTCATATACTGTAACTTAAAAGGTACACTTAAAGTTGAAATAATGTGGAAGAAAAACCAAGGCTGACCTGATGACGCCAATAAAATTACAACACATAAGCACTTCTGTATTTCACTAATGCTGAATTACAAAATGCTCATACAACACCTCAGCCAAAAGAGGCAGATCTGTCATTAATTTCCTGTCATTATTTCAGTAAAGACTTATACCCAGTTCCTTCCCTAAAATGTGCTAAAAAAATTTGAAGCAAAGTGTTGCGGTGTTATAAGTAGGCCCACACGAAAACTGTGTGCGCAGAATTCCACAGATTTTCCCCAGATTTCTGCAGATTTTTAGCCCATTATTAATTCTGTATATTTACTTGAGTAAATGTGTAAATCTGAAGTTATTTAGTTTTTATTCAGTAATTTATTACTTTTTATTTCATATAGTAAGGTTTTAGTTATGATATTCTGCTGGATACTCCCAAAACAATTCAGCAGAAATCTGCAGATTTTTACCAAAATTCTCCGCAGAAATAGCAAAAAGCGTCCGCAGATTCCGTCTGGCCCTGGTTATAGGTTACAGACATATTACTATCAGGTACATTAAGCAAATACACTCATTGATGCAAGACGATGAGGTTGTGTTGAATCCTTACTAATTTACAAGCTAGATTATATTATACATAGATAACCTAAAATCTCTATAACCATATGAGTTAAAAAAAACAATAATCAATAAAACACTTAATAAATCATTTCCATATTAACTATCCTGTTGTTAATCTGCAGTATATAGTGGAGAAACCAGGATTTACTGGACTCACTGCTTCAGAGATTTGTAAACATGTCTGATACAAGGATTTAAAAATAGCAGGATTTTCCAAAATTACCCAGCAGCTGGCTAAACATCCCGGTTTAATGTGTTATGTTATGAAATCAGAAACATTCCTGTTTACATCACCTGCCAAACAACGTTAACACCAGCAGCTGCAAACAGATCACGGGAAAGTCTCTTATGTTAATCTGGGGCGGAAATTTGCATGTTTGTTTTCTATTTTCACGTCAAACGTGACCAGAAAATATTTTAATGCACCAGAGAGAACTCATAAGGAAATTTTTAATCAGAAATCATTAGACACTCGAGTACATACACAGACAAGATGGCTCTTCCCCCACTTCTTCCTCTATACTAGTTAACTTAGCCAAGTGGCTAGTTGATTAGCAAAGTTGTCAGTTCACTTTTTAAAACCAGCTGCAAAAGCAACTCACATTCATCCAGAACAGTAAGTCTTCACGTTTGACCGATTTTACCAATTGAATGCAGAAATTGCAGTCAGTATTATGATAATATACGTTAATAAATTATGTTTCTGCCATAAACGGCAAAACAATGCTAACCGCTAGGTTAACAATCTCAATACAGCTAGCCAACAAACTTTATCACCTCACGACTAGTCACGACAGTTATTTGCTAGATATATACAGACAAAACACAAATACATATAGTTTTTCATCAATGACTAGTTTAAAACAGCCGTAAGTTAATATATTTAACGTGACGTGGGAGGAGAGCGCGCTTGTACGTGAAACGCGACGCTCGATAACTCGCGTCGTTTTAACGTATTTACAATTTAAAAGCACAAAGCAGAGCGTCGTTTGTACAGTTTTGACAAAACATTTCAGTCCGTGACATGAAATGTCGATTATAACTGCATGAACAATCTAAAAAGGACTCACCTCTTTGTTTATGTCACACAACACCTCCGCCTGGTAGTAATAGTTTGGAAAAAACTAACTACCCAATCCACACACATGAATGCTGGACTTTGTGTGTGAGTGTGAGAAAGACACGCCCGTTGCTTCTCTGCATTAATCACACTGAAGAAAAATGACTCAACTAAACAAAACCACATCTGCTCCACAATGATTTACTAGGGTCTTTCTTCATTTTTATATTTTCTGGTATTTTTACAATACAATTACTTTTTAGGACCACTTGAAAATGTAATAAATACTATCAAATGTAATCAGTTTCACAGGCCTGTAGCCAGACATGTGAAATAGGAGGTTCTTTTGCAAAAATTGGACCTTTTTGCAGTTATTCGCCTCATTTTTTATTTAATTAGTAGGTTTAAATACTGCAGTATAATGGCAGCAATATAAGCTTTTTTTCTGTTATTTAAATAGATTGTTGGATGTTTATCAGAACTGAAAAACTTTTTGATGTACCAAAACATTTCCTTACAAATGTAATAATAATAATAATAATAGTAATAATAATAAATAAATAAATAAATAAATAAATAAAAATCAATAAAATACAAATTTATAACATGATTGTCAATAAGAAAAAAAAAATGGAATCCATTTTTTTCACTAGAAATATTCATTTATTAGGCAAATAACAGTCTGGCCAGCACAATAAACTTTCCTCAGTTAAAATTTGACCATTTGAATGAACAAAAAAATAAACATAATGTATAGCTTCACATTTTTTATAGATTTTTCTCTTAAATTAAAAATTAATGGATAGAAATAGCCTGATTAGTATTAAATTAGTGTAAATAATTAGTATTGTATAGGATTAATATAAAAAATTATCAAAAATTATAAAAAATCTTTTTATTGATCTTTTTTGTTTCACAATTAAGATCCAAGATATAGAATAAGTTATTTGTAAAATGTTTTCAGCAATGCAGTAGGTCAGTAGTGAAAGATGATAACTTTACTTTCTTCAGATTGTATGTTTTCTTGAACAGATATTGGACTCATGAAAAATAATTGTTTGCATTGGCCAAAACTGATAAGCTGAAATCACGACAGCCAACAGAGCATTCCACTTGGTCTTAAAGCCTTCTTCGATTAATTATTTTTACAAATGAGCTCATGTATGCAACAAATTCTAGACCTTTGCCAGTGGGGTTTTCCGAATTAGCAAACCACAAATGTACGGGATTTATTATAATTTAGTGTCAAATATAAATGTTTGTTTTACTCTATAAAGGTCTCATTTCATTCAAATTTTAACAATATGTATTAACATTAAAGGGGTTGTAATTTTTTTAATTACCTTTTTTATTTGTATTAATCTTTGTTGGGGTTTTTTGTTCTCCTATATCCTATTTCTAAATTTAAAAGAAGTGTAGGTTATGAAATAAAACATGTTATTTTATTCAAACAAAATAAATCCTAAGAAACTGGGAATTTTCTTTTCTTTTTTACCACATATATATACAGTTGAAGTCAGAATTATTAGCCCCGCTGTTTATTTTTCCCCTGTAGCGGGGGCACTTTTGATCATTTTGGAAGGGCATCTCTATCCAAGACTAAAAAGGGCATGTGCACTGCACAGGTTGAGCCCCATGTGTGCACATGCCTGGGCTAGAATAAAAGTGTTTTTTAAATTTTTAAACATCCTTTTAAGGGACAAAATGATTAGCCCCGTTATGCTATATTTTTTTAGCGATAGTCTACTGAACAAATTATCGTTATACAATAACTTGCCTAATTACTCTAACCTGCCTTAACCTAATTAACCTAGTTAAGCCTTTAAATAGTATTGTATAGTCACTTTAAGCTGTATAGAAGTGTTTTGAAAAATATCTCGTTAAATATTATTTACTGTCATCATAACATAGTTCTGACTTCAAATATATATACAAATAAAATAAAAACTAAATGTATTTGGGTCAATGCTGCCTGCCACATCAGCTGCTGTGCCATAAACAGGAAGAGATATTCTTCCTTCTGTCCCTCCCCACTCTTTCTATCACTCTTTATCTTTTTTTCCATATAGCACTCACCTCATAGTTACAATAAACACAGTAACAGTTTGCTTTCATTATGACTCACTGGAGTCTCATCCACGAGAAACAGAACCGCAGGTACTTCCTGCTTTGCTTTTTTTTTTTGCTTTTTTTCTAGTTTTCTTTTGAAGTGTTGTTCGTATGAAAAATGTTTACAAAAAGCCAAACATCCCAAGAATGGACACATCCTGCTGCAGAAAACAACAGCACTGTGACACAAAATACATACACATCATAACAAACAATGGCAGAAAAAAAACTGATCAGTATGTTTTCACAATTACAACAAAAACAATGCAACTTAGACATGACCAGATTACAAAATCTTTAAAATCTTCATAATTCAATTAGAGTTACTTTTTTATGGATTAAACGATTACTTAAAATTCAAATAATGGCAGCAATTTATTAACCAATTTATTCTCTTTAATTCATTCTTTTCTTTAATAATTGTCTGTTGTAAAAACTAATTTAGCTTTGACTATATTTACAGTAATAAAAAACAAGTAATCTTTGATTTTGAATGAGTGAATCAAAAAAAAAATCTCTAAATCAATTACACCATGACACAATTAATTATGCAAGTTATCAATCACTGTAGTTGTTTATCTGTGTCTTCATTACATCCAGTGAATTGAATTCTTTAGTTTGATGGTCGAGGTAAAATATGTAAAACCAGTGAGACTTTTTAGAGTGACTATGTACAGTTTTTTAATCAATTTTTATTATTTATTTCATGTAATTTGTCATCTTCCCAGTTATTCTGCACACAAGCTTGTACTTACTTGTCAGAGTTGTTGACCATGTTTTTGGGACATGTCTAAAAAATCCCTGGCCCCCTGCCTATTGCACTGAGACTTTTCTATTCTCAGAAGGACAAGACTGTTTTTATGAAAGGGAGTGGATACATGAAGACCTATGGGAAGAGAATATGCTGTTGGCAGGCATACTAGGTGGAAAAAGAGAGAGGAAACATGTATGAGAAGACATCTTTTGGTTAACCCTAAGGGAACCATAAAAGCTTATTTTGCTCTTAATCCTGTTGTGAAATCATGGCTATTCACTTATATTTTTATTCATTTTGTATGTTTTTTACTTATTTGTATATGGACAATCTAAAAATACAAATACATCAAGTATTTATTGATTATATGGTTTACTCCTGTAGGGCCAAAACCCAGGGTTTTAACTTTCATTCTTTAAACCAACGGCACCTGTTGGTTGATCAAAGTGTTGCAAGCAGACAAAAGCTTTTGTGATTTATACAGTTTAACTGTTCATCTCCTTTTAATGCTATACAACTTCTTCTGAAAACAAATAAAAAGCAGATGAAGTCAATCTAGGGTCATATATACTTGCAAAATAAAAGAAAGTTTTGCAAACAAAAAATAAAGCATTGAGCAAAAATAAATAAAAAAAAGCAAAAATTACGTTTTGAGAAATAAAAATAAATTTTGCTAACAAAAAAGAACTGTAAATAAAAATTAAACAGCAAAAAAAAAAAAAGATATATATATATATATAATTGCAGAACATTTTTAATAGCATTGCCTTAAAAAAACATTCAGTCGATTGCAATGCTCATTTTGATTTGCTTCTAAGTCAACCCTGAGTTTGCGATGCTGTTTTCACTTTGCACTTCACGTTTCACTTTCTGGTACTGATTTGACAAGGGGGCAGAGTATAGACAACTTGGACATTTACGACAGGCCCTCGTAAAATCAAGGTTGAATATATGCAAATATTTTATTTTATTTATTAATTTTTTATTTTTTGCTCTGCTTGATTTTTATTTGCAGTTTTTTTTTTTTTTTTTTTTGCAAGTTACATTTTTATTTCTCCAAACTTAATTTTCTCTTTGCTGTTCTATATTTTTGCTAGCAAAATTATTTTTCATTTCTCAAAAATGTATTTTGGTTTTGCGATATTTGGAGATTTGCATTTATTTAATAAATTTTTTGCTCAATAATTTATTTTTTGTTTGCAAAACTTTCTTTTATTTTTCAAATATATATAGCCCTAGAATGACTCCATACTAACTATTTACAATATAAAAGCAGATACTGAGAAGAGATGAATGTTTATTTCTTAACTTCATGTTTATTTACTTATTACTTGTTACTTTATTTTTTATACACAAATTACACAATGATTTTTTGGGTTATTTACTGAATATTATTTAATTTGAGAACAAACTCGCTTTTTAAGCATAAAAGTAAAAAAATATATTTATATACAGAATAAATATATGTGTCAAAGACTATATATTATTTACAAAAGGGGTTTTATATACATATTTTAGCATACGGCATCGGAAATGCATGTAAAAAGCATTTTAATGTTTCAGATAATTTTTTTAAGGGAGTCAAAAATTTATGCAATTACCATTATAGATACATTTATGTAAAAATTAAACCTCATTCATTTTAACATTTGCTTATTGAAATATTTATGGGAATAAAAGACCACAAACATTTTTTTTAAAATTGTTTTAACTGATATTAACTTTTATGAGGGCATCACCGTGGCGCAGAGGGATCGCCCCACAGTAAGAAGGTCGCTGGTTCGAGCCTCGGCTGGGTCAGTTGGCATTTCTGTGTGGAGTTTGCATGTTCTCCCTGTGTTCGCGTGGGTTACCTCCGGGTGCTCCGGTGTCCCCCACAGTCCAAAGACATGTACAGGTGAATTGGGTAGACTAAATTGTCCGTAGTGTATGTTTGTGAATGAGAGTGTTCGGGTGTTTCCCATTGATGGGTTGCAGCTGGAAGGGCATCCACTGCGTAAAACATATGCTGGATAAATTGGTGGTTCATTCCTCTGTGGCGACCCCAGATTAATAAAGGGACTAAGCCAAAAAGAAAATGAATGAATGAATGAAATTAGAAAAACACTTGTTGAGCATTGATTGCTAAAAGATGCTTTTTTTACTTGGATTTTAGAAAACTGTTAGTATTGACTACAAGTTGTGAGGAGACTATAAAGAGACTAATATCTCACATATTTTATGGATGACAGACCCATTTCACCCCTCATTAATCAATGACACCCATTTTGACAGCTGAGACTGACTAGCATTCAGCTGCAGTCATAATCCTATCAAGTTCTTTATGTTAATTTGTGATAAAAAAGCACAAATTTACATATATTTATCGGTTTGTGTACATGAATTACCTGAATACATAAAACCTTTTGAACCAAGAACTTCCTTTATTGGCCTATAATCATTTTTCATAGCATACAGTATGCTTTTTCTGGATCACTAGATTTCACATTGCATTTCAAGTTATTCTCTCTGTCTATATCTGCAATCATTTTTTTTCATTCATTTTCCTATGGTTTCATTTTTCCTATAACACAGAAATGCCAACTGGCCCAACCGAGACTCGAACCAGCGACCTTCTTGCTGTGAGGCGATTATGCTACTCACTGTGACGCCCAGCAGTTTTATAAATATATATATATTAGTTAAGTAGATGCACATACTGTAGCATTGGTAAAATTAAGGTACAAACAGTTGTGCAAATGTTTGGTTCTCTTGGCCATTGAGCTGGCATTGGGATTATTATTTAGTCAGTTTTGTTTTACAAACCAATTGTTTGGTTATTAATATGAAAAATGTTTTTTTTTTTTTTGTACAAAGGAATATCATGGCTTCTACAACTATATTAAGCATTTTACCATTGCTTAAAAAACAAATGAACAAATAAATAGTTTTTCTTGGGCACCAAAATCAGCATATACTGTTAACGATTTCTGTAATTTACACATTATAACGTGAACTGAATTTTACTGTATGACAGTTATGCTGTATTTTAATGTTGCATTATGAACTAAAATATATAAAAATACAATACTGTATACATATACAGTTATATAAATGGGACTGTAAATGTAAATACAGTATTTTGCAGTAATTTATTTACAGTCAGTTACTCGCAAACTGCTGCCAGTAAGTTAATGTAGATTTTACATGATATAGTTAAGAGGGTACAAGAATAATTTTAGAAGTTTTTGTGTCACTGAAACTTGGAGTACAGGTTAAAGAAAAAGCATCCAGTGCTATCCAGTGGTGGGGTAATGCATCACAAACAACACAAGTTACGTAAAATATTACTTTTCTCAGTGATGAGTTAAGTAACAAATTACTTTTCTTAAATTAATCAAAATATTTGAATTACTTTTTAAAAATATAATGTGAATTGTTTTTTGTTGTTGAAAAAATAAATAAATTGCTTTCATTAAAATGAAAGTAGTCATGTTGAATCCAGCACAACGAGAGAATGCAGGAACAGACAGAAACAAAGATGGCAGAGTCTTACATTTTTGCAATAGAAATATTGTCTTTATTTTGAACACATAAAAAAAGGAGAAGAGGATTATCTGAATGGACACTGATTTTACTGTTTAATAAGAGCAAAAAGTACAAAAGTAGCAATTGCATTGCTTTAAACTTTTATTAATCTGTATATATGGCATGTATAGCTTTGGGGTCAGAAAGTTCTCAGAAGATAACATTATCCAACAATAGTTTTTATGTGTTTTTCAAAAGGTACATAAAGGTTCTGCAGTGTGATGTTTATAAAAAATCTGAAAAGAAAAGAAAAAGAAGAAGAAGAAAAAGAGGAAGAAACTTTAGTAGCTTTTAGAAGTAACTTTCCTCAACACTGTTGCTCTCACACACCACAGAAATAAACTACCTTTTAAAAGCAAAATTACAAAGGGTTGGAATAGTTCTGTTATTTTTTTTTTTCATTCCCAATAAAAGTATCATGCACATACAGTACATTTCACCCCGTAGATGACAGAATGTGTTATGCAACAAATTCCTCGCAACCTACAGACTGATTCTTATCAATGTTTCCAGCACTGACCTCATCCATGCATGAAGTAAACGTATACCTACTCAGAACAATTGTATAAAATCATTTAAAGGAACATTAGGAGAAAAGGCATCTTTATTTAAAATCTATATAAACTATATACACACAGCTGCATGATAACACTTTACCCCCCAACAAAACATTTAAAAAATACCGAATATTAATTAGAATAAATACACTTGATCAGTCTGAAAACATTTGAAAACTCTCATGTTGTTTTGAATCAAATAAATATTACATTATTGATTTTAGTCATTAAATACAGTAAATAATAAATAGTCATAAATAAATCCAACCCTTCAAAATTCAGCCATACACATGGTTATCCTCAGTGGAGTGGTTATTTAGTCCTTCACCCTGCCACCAGTCTCCTTGAAGCTCTCCCAGGATCTCCTGCAGCGACAAGGTTGGAAGCTCAGGCAGCGGTCCATGGTGGACCCCGCTTTCCAGCTGGCCTTCCGTTCTCGGAACATCTGGGTTGTCAACAGGAGAAGTCCTGTCCAAACCGGCCTCCCAGCAGCCCGAGTCAGGAGTAACAGGGGTCAGGGGTTGAAGAGTGTTGTGTTTTTCAGAATGCGAGTAAAAAAATCCCGGATTGCAGGCATATGCTTCCAGATGATATGGACTCCACATGGAGCTCATAGGAGACCTCCTGCCGTACCTCACACCCCAGTTAGGAGGCATCTGATGCTCTGGGCTTAAAAGAGGAGAAGGGCTCATATGGGATTGAATGGCTCTGCTTTGATGGTATGAAGGTGTGCAATAGCCAGAATCGTCGCTGATTGACATGGAAGACGGAGTGTCACATCCGCATACTGCATCTTTTTCCATTTCTTCCTTTATACGATCTGGATATGCAGGCGGTGGTGAACATAAAGTTCCAGTGGCTCCACTGGATTCATTGTTTTTCCGATGTATTTGCATTGGTGAAGTCTGCATATTGTTGTAGGCTGGCAAGTCGGTTTGCCACAATGGCTTTTTTCCACCCTTGCATTTCAACGTGCGAGCTCTCCTATTCTGGAACCAGACCTATTGTGAATGGAAATCAAATGGGGCAGACTCAGAAGTTGATAGATTATAGTCAACCATCTAGTGCATGCAGATACTGTAAGAGCTTTCCTGTTAAAGATTGAGGTTAATCATTGCGAGATGACATGCAGTTAGCTGTGCGTTTAGTCAGGATGGTTATCTGTGCTTGGTATGTCTATTGTTTACAGGCTGTACGGTCTCTAAACTAAACAGCTGATAAAGGCAAAGTCGCTTACGTCATGGCAGATATTGAGAGTGCTATCAGTGATGGTAAACAGTGTTTTCATGTAAGGCATTATTATATATCACTTCACCTGTTTGGTGTTTGGTGATTTACAAAATACATGAGAGATGCAAAATAATATGATAAGCTTATTAACATCTTAAAAGGATAGCTCACCTCAAAATATGACTTTATATTTATTTTTTGACTCTAATGTTGTTTCAAAGCAGTATGAGTATTTGTAAGCATATAATGAATATTGCTAGGGTTCAACAATCTCAAAAAAGTTGATGTATTTAATATTTTAATATGTATATTTAAGCAGGGTCAGACATTAATTTCACATTAAGATATATTTTATATACTCTCAGAAAAATAGGTGCAAAAGTAGTTTTTGTATATACATCTGAACAATCCAACCTAAATTAATAATAATGCCCCAATTATTCAAGATATTGGGGCAAAAGGGGTTCTTTTTGCCTTAATATCTTGAATAATTGGGGCAATATTAAAAATAAATTGGGGCACAATTAAAATAAACGTTTTGTGACAGTAGGGATTGAGATGAAAAATCAGCAGTAATAGCAAAAATAATCGAGTAAGGTTTTTGTCATTGTATTGCACTTTGAAATCGATTAGAAATTTTCAATTGATAATTTATAAACCAGTACATATGCAGTTGTTGTGTTTACCACCATTGAGAAGCATTATATTGTTTGTTAATAATACTTTATTAATAACACTTTGTAGTTAAATGACTGATTAAAGTGGGTGCACCGATATGGGTATTTGTAATAAGGTATTTTGATTATTAGTAATAAGGTAATTTTAAATTTTAATTTAATTAAATGTAAATTAATTCCTGAGGGCAAATATTATTCTTTAATGTAAAGTTCATTTCTAACCCTGTTTTTTTCCTCAAAGATTGCATAATGAAAATTGGTGGGTCCAACATTGTTTTAAACCCAGCAAAGTATGCATTATTGGATTTTAAACAATGTTGGACTCCAACAACTTTTATTATACAATATTTAAAAAAAGCAGGGTGCATGAAAAAATATATGCATAAAGTACTTGATAAAGTCTTCAAAATGTGTTCCATTCTGGTTAATAGAAAGTAGATTCATTGAAGAAAGTAAGTCATACGTGAACAAGTTGAGGGTGAGTCAATGATGACAGAATTCAATACATTGGTGAACTTTCCCTTTAAACTGATGTTAATTGAGTTTTACTGTTTATAACATGCCATTAAACATGACAGCCCACCTGTATGCGAGACTCTGGCAGTCCTGTGGTTTGGGAAAGACTCTCTCTGAGACTGATTCCAGGGTAAGGGTCTGTTTCAAATGTAGCTCGCAGAAGCTCAACGTGTTCCTTGGAGAAACTTGTCCTTTTCCTGCGACTTGCGCTTCTGGATACAGCTCCACTTCCAGATGTTTTAGCAGTAGCATCTAAAATGACAAATTTAAAATAAATTAATAATTATAATGAATGCAATACCAAACATAGTATTATCTTGTATGCTGTCTTTCAAATGAACTGTGAAAACATATAATTATTAAGTAGAAATCTTCAGTAATGTTTACCAATAGTGCTGTCTTTCCACATGTTGCGTCTTCACTGGTGGAATCCTGGAGGTGACAGTGAAGGTCTGTCCTCTTGGTGCTCCTCAGGGATTTGATTTCTGACCCCTTCAGCAGTGTTTTATACCTGTGCCCTCATGTCCTGCTCCCATGACCCCCCTTTCAACCCCACCTCCCCCATTTGAAGAGCTTATGATGGGTGAAATAGGAATGAGACAGGGTACAGTCTTTGAAAACCATATAAATAATTTATATATATATATATATATATATATATATATATATATATATATATATATATATATATATATATATATATATATATAGTCAGAATTATTAGCCCCCCTGAATTATTAGCCCCCTGTTTATTTTTCCGCTATTTTCTGTTTAACGGAAAGAAGATTTTCTCAGTTCATTTCTAAACATAATTGTTTTAATAACTAATTTCTAATAACTGATTTATTTTATCTTTGCCATGATGACAGTAAATAATATTAAACTAGATATTTTTCAAGAAATTTCTACACAGCTTAAAGTGACATTTAAAGGCTTAACTAGGTTAATTAGGTTAACTAGGCAGGTTAGGGTAATTAGGCAAGTTATTGTATAACAATGTTTTTTTTTTTTCGGTAGATAATCGAAGAAAAAAAAAACTTAAAGGGGCTAATAATTTTGTCCATAAAATGTTTTTTAAAAAAACTCAAAACTGCTTTTAGACATACTTTTAAAATGTCCTGAATCTGTTAAACATCATTTGGGGGGTTAATAATTCTGACTTTAACTGAATATATAAAAGGCAAACATTTAATTGAGCATTTATTAATCATTTTACCAATGTGCTCTGTTAAATTTTGTTGATTTATAAGCAAAACATCAAGTTATCATGTATTTTGACCATAATTTACAAAAGAGTAATACAAAGTAAATCTTGCAAAAAAAAAATCAGTGAAGATCAGTTATGCTAAATGAGTAACTTTCATTTCATTATGTGCACTGAATATGCTTTCTATGGAAAAAAAATTATATATATAATATATATATGTATGTACACCACACCACTTTTGTGTGTTTTATCTATATATGTGAGATAATTCATCATACATTACACCTTAAATATAAGAATAAGAACAATAAGCAGCAGCAGTCATGAATTTTTAAGATTCTATATAGTTTATGCAGACCTTATTACTACAAATATGTTTTATTTATTATTTTGCTGACTAAGCACATTGTTTTTTCTACCTTTTATTTATAATGACTGCAATATATACACTTTTAATATAGTAATTTACAAACGTATATTAAAGATTTCAGCTTTCTGTTTTTGACATTCTCATTATCAAAGAGCAAAAGTGAGACATTTTTAAAAATAAATATCAACATATCAAAATTATATTTAAAATATTAAAGTTTTATAAACAAAGGCTACAAAATCAACACTGACCAAAAGAGAAACTTTGTTTTGGCACATTAATCGACCAAAGAATTAAGAATTTAAATTATTTGAAATTGTATATAAATTAAAGTTATTTATTTGTATATTTTTTTATTCAATTTTATTTATTTATATTTTTTTGTCACTTACTCTCCATTCAAGTATTGTGATCAATAAAACAATAGACTCCAGAAAATATTAACTAACAAAGACATTAGTAACATGCTTAAACAAAAGGCTGTGAATGGGTATCTCTTTGTGTCATCTGATCTCTTTTCAAAAGGAACATAAAAGAAACATTTGTGGAAGCCAGAGAAAACAAGGAGAGCGTTTTGTGGAATGATTAATAGGACAGTTTGCATGCGTGAGTGCTGTCGCTCCAGAGGATCCAGCGGGGATAACAGTCATTTCAAAGTCAAGGTGCTTGTCAAGCTTGTCAATGTAGATGAGCTGCTGAGACGTGCTGTTCAACTAAAGCAAACTGCATCCGACAACCTCACAGGGACCTTTCAACCCTGTATAGAAATATCGACCAGTTCTTTTTAATGCTTCGTTTTATGTAAACACAAAATTAATAAAGTATGTCATCATATACAAGATATTCATAAAACAAATGCAAAATAAATGTCAAAAGCTGTTTATTTCAGTCCAGATTAATCTAATCACATAATTTTAAAGTTTTTGAATGCAATTTCTACAAATGGCGTTTTTGTGAAATAGTTTGGCAAGTCTACATTGAATCTGCACTAAAGTTTATCTCAAAATCACTAACAAAAGTAGAGTTTTACATCCCCCCATTAATCAAACACACCCTTTTGGCTGATACTGCGTTCTGCTGCAGTCCAAATCCAATCAACTTGTTATTTCAAGATAAATGTGCAAATTCGAGATAGTTTTCATGTATTTGTTTTGTATACAATTATCTTAAGCATAACTTTTGTATCCACAAGTTTTAAAAATCAAAGTTCTGGAATCTGTGGTTCCATGAAGAACATTTAACACAAATATTTCCATTATACAAAAGGTTCTTTACACACAAAAATAAAGGTAAAAAAAAACAACAACAAAAATTTCCTAAAGAACGACTCTTTCAGTAAATAGCTTTTATTTTTTTTTACATTTTACATAGTACATTTAATAATGTTAATAAAAATTAATAAACAAATATTAATAAAATGTGATAAATGTTAAAGTTTTATTGGCTTCTAAAGGCTCTTAATGGAACCATCAATGTCTATAAGCAACCTTTATATTTTGTTTCCTTAGAATTATATTAAGGTTCTATCTGACATTTTTGTCAAAATTGAGTTATTGACATATTTTTATTAAATGACAACTTATTAACATTATGGGATGCTTTTTTATAAGTTGTTTACATTTTCAGAATGCTTATTTAAAAAAACAAATTTACACACAAATTGTTTGCTATATAGAAAGCAAAAACTTGGAAGCTCAATATCTCAAAATCATTCAGAACGCAGATCGAACCTTATAATTCCAAGGTGACGATTTATCAGTTTTTCTCAGTGGCTTTGGTGCATTTCTCACAACACTGTTTACATATGCACAACAGTTAGTGCATTTCTCAAAACAATTTGTGCACATCATAGTAGCAGTTTCTCATTCCCTCCAACAAATTGCAAATGCTTTCGAATGTTTTATAACATTATCATTTGCTTATGTCATGTCAGTCAAAATGAACTAAACTTGTGAATGCTGAATAGTCATTCTATATAAAACTAAAAGTCCTCATTTTATTAGTCGGGTCATTACATACAAAAATGTTAAACTAGTCAAAATTTGTCAAGTTAATTTTATCAAAATCTTTAAATCTTTTTTCCTGAAAATGTCTAAACTGAACTATTTCATGAATGATTTACAGACCTGTGTGTGTTGTAGATTCAGTTCCAAAATGTAGGCTACTTTACAGTTTTTCTCAGTCACTTTGGTGCATTTTTCACAACACTATTTACATTTGCACAACAAGTCATGCATTTCTCAAAACAATTAGTCATTGGTGCACATCCTAGTAGCAGTTTCTCATTCCTTTCAACAAATTGCAAAAGCTTTCGAACATGCATCAATTGCTTTCTTTCAACTCTCTGCTATTTATAACATTATCATCTGCTTATGTCATGTCAGTCAAAATGAACTAAACTTGTAAATGCTAAATAGTCATTCTATATAAAACTTACAGTCCTCATTTCATTAATTGAGTTATTACATACAAAAATGTTGAACTTGACGACAAAATCAAGCAAACTTTATAAAAAAAAAATTCAAACTGTATAGGACTTTCCTAAAAATGTCTTTAAAATTGAACATTTTGATGAATGATTTACAGACCTGTGTATGTTGCAGGTTCAGTTCCGATATGTACTGCAATATTGTTTACAGTTGTGCACAGTTCAACCCAAAGGAAGTTTATGTTTGTTGTAAATAAGGGTGTGTTTATTCTTTTGCACAATGCTGTGAATAAATTAGGATTGTATTGAGCAAATGCAGTAAAAATGTGAAACATACATATTCAGTGTCTTGTACTCTGATAACTCACTCAATGCAGTGATGTCCAACTTTACTGTAGTTTTCAAATGGCTGTGCAAATAGTATATAGTGCTGTCTTGAGCAGGACGTGTCACCAGCATCTGACTTTTTTGCATTGAAAAAAATGTAGAGTAAACTGTCATAATGAAAACATGACTAAGCCATTTGACTATCTTGTTCATAAACAATAATGTCAGGACTTTTCATTTTGATGATACTGACACTTTGTTTGACATGAATACTTGCTTTTGAGGAATGAACTATCCATTTTGAGCATGCAACGCGCTTTTGCAGGTTATCAGCTAGGTTTTGCAGTTTGCACTAATTGTTTTGAGAAATGCATTAACTGTTGTGCAGAAATGCACTGGTGTTGTGAGAAACGCACCAAAGCGACTGAGAAAAACTAAAATTGTTTACAGTTGTGCACAGCTCTACTCAAAGGGAGTTTATGATTGTTATAAATAAGGGTGTATTTATTCTTTTGCACAATGCTGTAAATAAATTAGAATTGCAAAGAGAATATGCAGTAAAAATGTGAAACATACATTGTGTCTTGCACTCAGATACCTCACTAAATGCAGTGATGTCTAACTTTACTGTAGTTTTCAAATGACTGTGCAAATAGTATATAGTGCTGTCTTGAGCATTTTCAGGAAGTGTCACCAACATCTGACATTTTTGCATTGGAAAAAATTAACAGTAAACTGTCATTATGAAAACATGACAAAGCCATTTGACTCTTGTTCATAAACAATGTTGTCAGGACTGTTCATCTTGATGACACTGACACTTTTATTGACATGAATACTTGCTTTTGAGGAATGAGCTTTCCATTTTGAACAAGTGACATGCTTTTGTAGGTTATCAACTAGGTTTTGCAGTTTGTACTAAATGTTTTGAGAAATGCATTAACTGTTGTGCAAATGTTAATAGTGTTGTGAGAAATGAACCATGCAACTGAGAAAAACTGTAATAGTGCATTGTACAAAATGTTCTTTACACTTGTAAAAATAAAGGTTCTTTACTGCCATTGATTGTTACATGAAAATGTTTAACATCCATGGCTCTAAATATTCTTCAGTTGTCTTTAATTTTAGTTTCTTTAAATATTTACAAAGTTCTTCACACGTTGTTTTGAATAACGTTTTCTGAAAGTTTTTTTTATATGAAGCCCCCTTTTAGAATATTTGTTTTATCATTTTAACCAAATATTCAGCGTGCAAATTTCATTTCCTTTCTATTTATGTATAGTATAATTTGAATTTCCATATTTTTGTCTTAGCAACTTATTAACCTTAGTTCACTTGACAAAAACAGTAGGTGTCAGCCTTGAGCTTCAACGGCAATAAAACTATATTTATTTATATTTATTTATTTTTTATTTTTTTGTCATGTACAGTTCTACATTCAGACATTTGAGGATAATGATATTTAGTTAACATTTCAACTGTAAAATAAAGAGATGTTTATAAATATTTACAGTTTTAGTCAGAATTATTAGCCACCCTTTGATTTTTTTTTCTTTTTTAAATATTTTCCAAACAATGTTTAACAGAGCAAATAAATTTTCACGGTATGTCTGATAATGTTTTTTTCTGTTAAGTGCTGTTTGTTCAAACTGATTATTTAAAATGAGCCGAATCAAAACAATTGAGTTTTTTTTTTTAAATTCACTTAAATTTGAAAAGAAAAAAGAAAAAAAAACAATAGTTAACTTTATCCAATTGTGACTGGATAGGGCTTTGGATAGGGCTCAATCCTCAATTTTTAGTGTATTGGGTTTTCAAGAAAACCAAACTTTTTTTTTTTTTACTTTTATTATTGAATAAATTAGTCAGTGGCTTAAGTGCCTGCACATAAAAGTCAGTACTTTGAAGGCACTAAGCAAGAACCAGGCATTGAAGTGTTAATACAATCTCGATTTCACTCTATCATAGCTATACTGTCCCATTGAGCAAGTCACTTAACCTTTGTTTCCAGCAGGGCGATGAGATGCGTCACCTAAATGGCAAGTTACTTACTGGTTAGTCATGACAAATACCAGGGTCAGTCTAAGGCTGTTTAGTTCCTGCCCGCTAATGGAAGGAAAAAAAAAAAAAGAATAATGTACCCAGAATATTTTTACAGAGAGTTCCTTTGCCACAATGGTTATTAAATATTAAACTTGCAGAGACTAAAAGATTTTATAAAACAAATAATTTCTTTCTGAAGGGAGTTCTCGAACCATTAAGCAGAAATGCTTTCTACTGGGAGAGAAACGACTGGCCTAATTAAACAGTGAGAACAACAAAGGAAATGGCATTTACACAACTAGAAATGTGCACACTTCCTGTTCACAGCCAAAATACGTATGTGTTATTGCATAAAATATGCTCAGAGATCTTGTCTGATAGAAAAAAAAATAGTGTCGAGTAAAATGACACGTACACAAAACTACAGAAACAGCTTTATTTATAGACAACAAATAAATACATATTCATAATTACATCATACTGGCTAAAAATGGTGTATAGACCTTCCGGTTGGAAAAATAGATATTTACATATGACGTTAATTTTATTTTTTACATTCTTGGTAATTAAAATACAGGAGTAAATGTTTTGTAACTTAATGCCATGACATTTAACTTTGCTGTTCCTAAAAATGTAAACAAGTGAAGTAATATGCTGTCATCCTTAAAGGCAAAGCCATAAAAAATTCTTTAAAACAATCATAATGTCCTTTAAATGCAAATATATAATACATTTTCACAGTTGATAAACAAAAGAAACAAGATCTCAGACAATAGCAGCATTTTAAAGTGTCAGAATCCCTGTTAAATTTCACTGAATATCCTCTCAAAGGTTTGTGCTCTAATACAATGCAATCCTTAAGAATGATCATTTTGCTCAACCTCATCATTGTAATTTCAGTAGAAGGCTAAACGCAGACAACCATAAAACAAACAATATCCCAAATGTGACCATGTGTGAAATACAAGTTAAATTCATAAATAAAACTGTGCTTAATAATAGAGATTCAAGTAACAAACACCATTACATGGACGGCTATGGTTTAACTCATTTGTAAAGCAGCAATTCAACACAGCCAGAGAGAAAGTATTTCATGCCGACTCTACCCAAAAAGTGAACAAGAGCTCAAATCAATCAATCCTTCAACTGGTTTAACATGCTGTTACTTCATTAGAACAGAGCTGCGGTGAACTCATGACAGAAACATGCACAGAATGAACAAGGACATCGGGCGTCGTCCATAGAGAGAATTCCAGTCAAAATATTTTCGTCAATTAAAATGAATGTTAACCCGTTTAACCAGTCAGCACAGATAATTCAAGTTTCTGTGACATCATGAGGTTAAAGACTAGTACGCATCAACACCTACACTCCAGGAGAGCATGTACCGAACGGATGAAATTTAAAAGGTGTGGCCCAATCAAACGTGTTGGTTTACATTAAGACTCTTAGCAAATCACTCGCTTGTTTTCAGACCGCAAGCATAGATTACAAGGATTTTGGCACATGCTATGATGTAAACCATATGTCACAGATGGGTTCATGGCATGCTGTCAACCCTGCAAAATTGTTGGCTTTCTCTGCAGGAACAAACACTCCTGGGGGGAATAAACTCCGACCAAAATTGTTTGGACTTTGTTCAAAACCTTTTTAAAAAGTTCTGAACTATAAAATAAAGAGCTGTATTTGTTGCTTAACTAACACCAGAAAATGAAAGCATGTAGATAAACAGCCATACAGAAATTGCCAATGTCTAAAACAAGAGACAGGATTGTAGTCCCTTATAATAAATAATAATAATAATAATAATAATAATAATAATAATAATAATAAATGTATCTTAGAATAACAGTCAAAAAAAAGGCCTGCAAATTACTCTCTTTTGATGCTTTCGGGTTTGGAACTCTTCATGTAGGACTGATAAAAGAAAGAACTGAAGAGTAGCAAATAGCTGAGGTACATGAGTGAAGCCCACACTATGTTGTCCAGGTAAGATGGACAGTCCCCGTCCTGCATCCACCGGTACACTAGTGCACTTACTGCCAGGCCCATGGCCATCTGGGCAATCTGAGAGGATGTGATGAGGATGGCACAGGGTTTCGGCACACGGAGTCCTGCAGCACGGGCCGCGTAGTAGCTGTACATGAGCGCGTGGACGGTGTAATTCATGGTCATGAACCAGCCTCCACCTGCGACCTGGTCTTTGTAGGAATACCAAGAGTACACCAGCACAGTGATGTGATGATACCAGTGCAGGAAGATCAGACGCTGCTTGCGCAGGACAATGAACATGGTGTCACCTGTGGGGGGAAACAAAGTGAGGGTTAGGAAATATGTAAGAAATTCTATATAAAACCAGAATATATTATGTAAGGTTAGAATCAAATAACTTTAGCATCATTCAGTTAATTAAAAAAAAAAAGGTTGGTATGGTTTCTGATTTTTTGCTTTGTTTTTTAGCTAACAATTAAAAGTCAGTGGGTCCCAGCATGACTCTGGATCTTTTTCCTAAAAGAAACTGACTTCTTTCCCCTTTGCAACCGAGAAGAAAAAAAAAGAAGTCATAATTGCAATATGTAAACTCAATTGTGAGAAGGTTGGTGAAGGTGAGAGGAACCTTAAACTGCAATAAATCAAATATAAAAGACAAGGAAAAAAAACAGATTTATACAAAGAAATTGCAATTTCTGGAATTAAGAAATGCAAAATTATGGCATTTACAATTTCTAATTTTTCACAATTTTGCCTTTAAATAGCAGAGTTACAGCTTATTCCTTAGACTAAACTGCATGTGTGAGCATGTCTTAACTAAAAATAATTTGCAGTGACAACTCAAAATGCACCAGTGCTATTGTTTTGTCTCAAGATGCACACCATAAGTGGTTCCTCAAAGTCAATTTAATAAAAGCTGCCTAAGTAAATAATCCATCTTAACTCCTTTGTAAAACCAAGCCTTAAAGTTACAACATCTTTTTTATAAGGCCAAGTTTTGCTGTGGACTCCACTGACTCTGACACTAAACAACTGTATTGTTCCTCAATTTCTTCTTTTGTCTCTACAGCAGAAATTTAAGTCATGTGAGTTTAGAACAACATGAGGGCAGGTGAAAGGTCAAAAGATGGTCATTTTGGGTTAAAAAAAAAAAAGGCTTACCTAGTTCTGGAGCTTTGCTCAGCACAAAAGCACAAGCCCAGAACTTGCTTATGGGCCCATAGTAGAAGCTCTGATCACAAACAGACTGTTTAAAACCACTGGTGCTTAGAATGTACAACATGAAGCACCCAGTTCTCACTGCTCCAATGATACTGAAAAAGAAAAAACATGAACCGCATATGAATGCTGTCTGCCAAGGCAGTAACACCATGGAAACAAATCATAAACAATACAGGCCTCTAGTGAACTCTGAGGTGGGGTGGGGGGGGGAGAAAAGAAGCATGCTAGGCATGTCGGACAAACACTGCTATGGTTGCAGGCAGTTTCTGTGTTTAACAAATCAATACCAAAACATTCACTATGTGGTGAAAGTCCAGTTGCCGTGAGAGATCTAAAGAGCATGTGATGCCCATCCAATCACAATATTGCATTGTGCCTTTCACAAACATGCAAATAGTTACTTTGTGCTTGCTGTCATCTCTGTCTTCTGTGGAGATGTGAATAAGACTCCTTCCCCCAACCCAAAAAGAAACCAAAGCCAGCCTTAAACAATAGACACTGAAGACTTAAAGCACATGAATTGATAACTCTCAAACATCTCACTGGCATGTATGCTGGCATGCTCATGTTTCAAACTGAACTTGTGCAGGAAACAATAGATAGTTTTCTATTATAACAACCATGTTTTGTAACTTAATATCCAACAGCCAAAATTCACTACAATATAGGGATTTTCAACTATAGATTAAAATCGATGTAATTTATTTTTTTAAATTTTTTGTGCCTTCATATTGAGAGGGAGAGAGGTCCGGTTTCATCTCAAAGGTCGAAAGTTCAGGGCAAACGAGTTTCCTTAGGACAGGATTCCAGCAGGTTTTATCAATACAAATTTAAGACTTTGAGACATTAAGACTAAACATTAATAAGTTACTGGAGAAAACTGTTTACAATAATAGGGAGCATGAACTACAACGAGCAACTTTGGAATATGTATTGTAAAATTTAAATAAAAAAAAGCTTTACATTTAAACAATTCTGCTACCAAATAAAGATTTAGGAATAACTTTTTATTTGTTGACCAGATTGTAAAAAAACAAAGTAAACAACTACGTGCTTTTCTTCCGTTGTTTTGTTTGATTGTGTAATATTCAATAACAATTGTATAAATTTAGAAATTTTGGCACCAATTCAAGAATTTTTGGAAGTGTGAATTTTTATATCTAAACCTGTAAGCTCTTTACAGTCAGAGAAAGCCTGCTTAGAGGACGTTGTGTGCCAGAGCAATATGTTTTTTATTAAATGCAAGTTTCAACTTTAAAAGAGAGGTAAATAAATTCTAAAAAATAAATTCTAAGACAAGTGAGTTATATTAGGCAAATAATTAACTGAATTTAATTTTCAATCCAACAATTGGATTTTTAGATCACCTGTTTTATAAATCTAGAAATCCCTACATTTTTAGAATAATATTCAGTTACAGTTAAACAGCATAATTCTATACTAAATTACTAACCAATTTTTGTAAAAAACAATTAAAAAAAAACATGAGTTCAGATGCAGAATCCTCCAAATGCCATTTAATTTTTTTTCCCTCAATCTGCTTTTAAGTTCCGTTATAAATTTTACTATTAAAAGCAATGAAAGGCAGTGGTTCATCACTTAGAGGTAAAGTTGGTTATATATTCGCATATTCGTTCATTTAGAAGTCTCTATATTGTTTACCATGTTACTTTGAATATTCGATTGGAATAAGAATGCAAGTATGACTTGAAAACAACATTAACACTTTATTTGACTGTGAACAATGTTGTACTTTGATAGTCATTGGCTGCTAATATGATTTCGCTAATTAGAGTTTGCAAATAATACTGTTATGAAATTATATTGAGGAAAGTCAGAATGTGTGAATATAAAACTAACTTTGCCTTTGTGTTCATCACCATATAACTGAAATTACTGAACCTATATACGCAGGAATCCTTTGAGGAAAAAAAAAGCATGTACAGGTTTTTTCATGTGAACTCTTGCGCAATATTTTCTAGAAGAGGTAAGTGTACAATAATAGAATCATTTACAAACAATGTCCATGCTTTTATCTTTGAAAAAAAAAAAGTAGGCCTAACCATGTTTTCAGGCACATTTATTTTATTACAAATGGTGTCTCAAAACCATGGTTAAATTATGATTAAACTACAAAAAAAATAAATAAATAAATAATAAACTTTGTATTAAAAAAATACTTGTCAATCACCAATGTGAACCGTATTAATCTTGCCTGTAGAGATTTATTTTATAAAACATATATAAAAAAATATAAAAATTTAACGGGATAATATTTATATTTTACTTCATTTTTACTCACCTAAAAATGGCCAAACTGAGGGACCACATCATTAACACTTTCCGGAGATCAAGTCTTTGTCTGTCCTTCATGAAGTGCTGTCCACCAAACACAAGCACTACATACACAGCGCCAAACAAAAACGACTTTTTCCTGAAAGAGAAGATGACACCAAGAAAAGAGTTTACAACAAATCTGCAGGCAAAGGCGCAGGTGTATTTACCTAAACCATAGACGGCTCTTACCAGTTGTCCTGCATCCATTCAATGGCAAGCCTTTCATCAAAGTGACGCTCGAACTCATACTCGGTCAAAGGAAGCTGGAAGTCTGTCATGTTCATTTTTTATGGTAAACTGCTTTCGAAGTGAAGATAAATCGAGGAAAGTTTGTGGATAGTGTTCGCTCAGCACAGCAGCCACTAGATAACTAAACAGTCTCAGATACACACCTGTGTTCACACCTGTCCTATGTAAATTAGGGTGGAGTTAATAGTGGTGTTCAGGGAGTGACTCTCTGCCTCTCTCTGGTTTTGTGTTTCCCGAAAGGAAGAGTTTTACCAGTTTTTATACAGCAATGCACCAGTTTTTGTGACGCAGGCATAGATAAAAGGTCAATTTGGATAGGTGAAAATTACAATGAATTATGCAAATTCAGTGGAGAGTTCTATAACGTTAATAGCCAAATATGTAATGTCATTCTATAATTTAACACATTAAGAAAGAAAGAAATCTAAAAATAAATGTGTTTTTAGATCAGTGGCGATGTAAATGTATTTTCATGGACACTATATTGTTGTTGTTGTTGTTGTTGTTGTTGTTGTTGTTGTTGTTGTTGTTGTTGTTGTTGTTGTTGTTGTTGTTGTTTTAAGGAGGATATCAAATTTTGTTCAAAGAAGTAGGCCTAAGTTTGAAAAGTAATTCATTTGATAATTATAGGCAAAGTTATTCCACTCACTCACTTTCCTCACTCGGCTTATGCCTTCAGGGTCATGAAAATTAGTCAAAGTGAATACAAATTATTTTATTTAACTACTTCGGTGACATAGAATTCTTGAATTATTGTTTAACGTGAGAAATATTCCGTGTATGTGGCAAATTCCATTAATAACTGGTACAATAGCAATTTCTGAAGTCCCACGTGTTGGCACGTGAGGGCGCTATTGCTACATTGTGATACATGATTCTCAAAAGCGCTCTAAAATAGGTTGCAGTAGGCCTATGTTAAGCTATAAAAAAACTAATCCAATAGATTATACCTAATATCAATATTATATTAACCCATATTTTGGGTTAAGTTTAAATAAACCCTTTTACCTTTTGTAATTGTTCATGGTTAAGGATTGTTTTACCCATAAAAAGCAAACATACAGGCCATTTTACAGTTTGATCTAACTTTAAAATATATTAATTCATTTCATTTTCAGTTTAGTCCCTTTATTAATCTGGAGTCGCCACAGCGGAATGAACCGCCAACTTATCTAGCATATGTTTTTACGCAGTGGATGCCCTTCCATCACTGAAAAACACCCATGTACTCTCATTCATACAGATACATTTTGGACAATTTAGCTTACCTAATTCACCTATAGCGCTATTAGCGCATGTCTTTGGACTTGTGGGGGAAATTGGAGCATCTGAAGGAAACCCACACAAACACGGGAAGAACATGCAAATTGAATCAGTCCAGAGTTGAAGTTCAGTTTAGTTCAGTTCAGTGTGGTTTAATGTTCTCTGCTGAAAGTCCAAAAACTGAAGAGCAAATCCATCTATACGCAGCTCCACAAGTCCCAACCAAGCAAGCCAGTGGTGACAGTGGCAAGAAATTTACCAATTGACAAAGTGAAGGGAAAAAATGTCCAGGTTTTGGGTCTGTCCTATAGGCGACGGCTCTTACAATGTATTATAAGTTTTTTTTTTTGTTTTTTGTTTTTCATAATTTTAAACAATCCTAAGTTTTTGCACCTTGAAAGTTCAAGCTCATGGCCTATTGAAAACCAGCCCTTGAAATCACTGAGAATAAACCACTGGTAAAAACTCCATAAAGTCACACTATAAACCACCTACAACACAACAGAAACCATCTAGGACCACCTAGTTTTTAAGCCATAGAAACCTCCAAGTATAATCTCCCTATAGAAACCACCCAGAATACAAAGCAACCCCAATGCCCTAGCAGCCACAGATTGGCTATCAATGGATTTGAATGGTCAAATGGCAGTTTTATTTTCTTTAGAAAAAATCCAATAAATGGATTTTAATTATTTAAAATTACTTTGAGGCTCTTTGAAAGTTTGCTGATGTGCCCTACGGGAACTGAGGTTAAGAACTATAGAAAATACAGAAATCAGAAGAAAGAATCATATTATACTAAAAGAGTAGCTGAAAATACATTACACTTCTTGACTTGCCACAATGCATTCTTTAGCTGTTTTTTTTTTTTTTTCAGAGAAGACGGAGAAATTACAGAAACAGCAGCCTATTTCAGTAGGCTATACCCAGCTACATTTTTTGACCAGTGCTGTAGGTTAATTAATGATATCACTTTGAGACATATTACACTTAATCTTAAAAATATTAGGTCAAAGTTTTATATTATATTATATTATATTATATTATATTATATTATATTATATTATATTATATTGTATTATATTATATTATATTATATTATATTATATTATATTATATTATATTATATTATATTATATTATATTATATTATATTACATTATACAATATTGTACTATAAGATACTAGACTCGCATTCACCTTGCAGTTCTCATGTAAGCTATCAATGAACTCTGTACAGTACAATCCTATAGGTGGCGATAATTGCGTTTCTCTCTGTATAATCACAACACAGAAGAAGTGTGGCCTCAGTGCAAGCGTGATGTTTATCACGGTGTCTTAAATTAATCTAACTCGTTCACTTGTGCGATATTGTTAAATGTAATGAGGTGCCTATGTGGTGTAGACTGGGGTGCTAGTAGAGTGGCATTAAAAACAATTTATACAGGGTTGATAAGATCAGTGATCGATTATGGATGTATGGTGTATGGATCAGCTGCTAATACAACATTAAAACAGCTAGATGTAATCCAAAACCAAGCATTAAGAGTATGCTGTGGAGCCATGAAAACCACACCGGTAGCAGCATTACAGGTTGAAATGGGAGAGATGCCTCTACACCTTAGGAGAGATCAGCTGGAGGTAGTATACTGGGCGAACTTGAAAGGCCATAATGAAAATCACATAGCACAGACAGTTCTGATGCAATGCCAAGAACGAGAGAAACGGGGCATTAAAGGGTATGGATGGACAATACAACAAAAAATAAATGATATGGAAATAGATACAATAAAAATTTCGCCCACTATAGTATTTCCAGTAGTTCCCACATGGCTGCTTGATGACTTGGAAGTTGATTTTGAAATAATGAAAGAAAAACAAGAAAATGAGATTGACAGCAAACAAGTGGAAAATTATATAAGAGAAAAATACAGTGAAACAACTGAAATATACACAGATGCATCAAGAATTGGACAAAGGGTAGGAGTGTCATTCAGTATTCCAAAGTTAAAAATTGAAGTTACAAAAAGAATTAATAATAATTTAGCAGTTTATACAGCAGAATTGGTAGCGATATGGTTGGCTCTAAAGTGGGTAGAGGACAATAAACCAATTAAAGCAGTCATTGCGTCTGATTCAAGTTCAGCACTCATAAGTATTAAAAATGTAGTATCAGAATCACGGCAGGACATAATATATGAAATAGTACAGTTGGGAAATAATATCATTAAATCAGGAGTTATCATTTCATTATTGTGGGTACCAGCGCACATAGGGGTTAGTGGAAATGAGATGGCAGACAAGTTGGCTAAACAAGCAGCACAGCAAACTATGATAGACATGGACATCAAATACAGCAAGTCAGAAATCAAAAGTATAGTTAAAACCAAAATATTAGGAAAATGGCAACATATATGGAATAATGGGAGTACAGGACGTCAATATTACACCATACAGAACATAGTTGGGAAAGGTAGGGAAACAAGGAAAAACAAAAAGGAAGAAGACAAGTTCTCAAGAATGAGATTTAATCACACATCACTCAATAGCACACTACATATGATCAACAAACATGCAGATGGGATGTGTGAATGTAACAACCAGGAAACTGTAGAACATGTATTAATACACTGCCCAATATATCAGACAGAAAGAAATATATTATTCACACAGTTACAGGAAAAACAAGTGGAACCTAACATAAAGAACATACTAAAGTTGAGCACGGGTGATGTATGTTTTAGATATGTTTATAACTATTTGAAAGACACAGGGTTGAATAATAGAATTTAGTATTTAGATGAATAGTTATCTATATCATATAGAGGTATTATAGAGAAAGAAATATCAAAGTTTGGGACATTTAGTAATTTATTTATATGTATAGGAAAATAATAAAAATTTTTATTTGTAATATTTTATTTTATTTTTTATTTTTTTATGGTTGGGCTTTGTTTAACTATAAAACATGGTTAGTTAACTCCGGATCCACACTCCAATCCAGATGGTGGCGGTAATGCACCAAAAGCTGGTTGCCAACCGCCATAAACAACACAAGAAGAAGAAGAAGAACAACTTGTGCGATATTCTTGGTTTATTGTGTTCATCTTGGAAATACACTGATTGCGACTGCACACGATGAGAATTTATCATTCCTTACTTAATGCTGCAAAGTTTAGGAGTGTGTTTGACTTTGGTGAGCGCGATGTGACGCACTGGTTCCCTAGACATATGGCTAAAGGTGCGTGACACTCAATTTCACAAAAAATAAGTGTTTTTCTGTGATTTATAAATTTTTAGTTATTAATCTATTTTTTATAACCTTGTACTAGCGAGACACTGCCGTATTTTTATGTAACTTTATTCATAATAACTTGTAAATGTATTTATTTTCTTTTTATATGAATGTTTTAGTTGCTATGCTTTGATTTTTATTGTTTGCTTGTTCGTTTTCTGCCTCTAAATCACTTTGATTGATTTGACTGACTGACTGACTGACATTTCAATAACATTCCAGTCATTCAATATTCATTAGACACACTTTAGTCTTATCAACGTCATCTTATTTGTGCCAGTCAAATAAAAGCATGTCCTGTGGGTGATAGAGGTGAAGTTGGTTTTATATTCACACATTCGGATTTCTCCTTAATAATATATTTTCATTAAATTATTCTTTGCAAATTCTTAATAGGGAAATTATGTTAGCAGCCAATGACTATTACAGTACAAAATTGTTTACAGTCAAATAAATAGTGCTAATGTTGTTTTGAAGTCATACTTGCATGCAATTTTAGACCGAATATTCATAGGCAGTAGGCACCACCATG